TCCAGTGGGTCTAAAACTGAACTTTTGGTGAAAGAAACGAAACTAAAGCTGTTGTTTCAATTAATTTGCAGAAGGCTGTAGATATACAGATACAAATAAAGACGTTATTTCTAATTCTGGAGGATATCAAATATGTTTTCCAATTCTTATTTTCCATTATTGGAAGATGGTAAGAATTTTTTATTCTAATTCTTATTTTCCATTTTGGAGGATGATTTTCCAATACTTATTTTCAATTTTGGAGGAAAGAGCAAAATTTGTTTTGTTTTTTGTCGCTTAGTGGTTTCGTAATATAAATTGCGGAAACTGGTTTCTAAAAATACTTTTAAAACGAGTAATAATTTTACAAAAGGAACATTAGCATTCAATAAGGTTTTTGAAGAGTCGGAAATTGAGAAATCAGTATTATTCACATGCCGATCGAAGTATACTGGAGCGTTTATTAATTTAAGTTACGCTATTTATAGGAAAATTTCGGATCACGGGAAGTTAAAAGATGCATTTATTAAATGTATGAGTTTTATTGGTTAATAAATATATTTCCAATTATTAATATTTATTTTTAGGAGCGAAAAGATTGCTGATCATTTTCCTGGACGTGAGCTTTTTGGAGCATACGACACAAAAATAGTCGTCTGCTTTTTCGAAGCTACCGAGGTGCGTCTCAAGCAACCTCGCTGATTGGTCAATAAATACTAATGTGGACATTTGAATTTTACATACGCGTAATCTTATTCTTACAGAGAATCGATGTGATGTCTGTGTGATCCTACTTTTGTACAGAATTGAGGTCTTAATTATACTACTTCAATCTATTGATATTTAACTACGTTCTTCATATATATATATATATATATATATATATATGCTGAATCAAAAATAATACAAACTTTGTGGGCGGGTTGCATACACCAAAAACAGGGGGAAAAAGTTCATATAAATATGTATGAAAAATCCTTCGTTTTTGGGTTATTAAGTTTAAAGAAAGTTTACAGTAGATGCGGCTCTGTTGCCATTTGACTGGGTTACATTTGTTATTCGTGTACATTTGTGGCTTGTCTGTTTTCAACGTTTAACGAGTGTAGTAGTGTGTTACCTGAGAAGTGATTTTTACACATAGCCGCCTAAGTGTTAATGGACGCGAAGCTGCATGGCTGTATCAGATGGTGTTTTCAGGCCGAAGGCAGCCGAATCATCGAAACTTTGCGGGTGTTTATCGTCGCGTTGCTGAGTTAGGATCCGTGGCATCACAAACTATGGCTCGAAGTAGACCGACATCCACTCGTGCGCCTGACCACATTCTACGGGCTGTCGAAGATGATCCAGGTATCAGCACACGTCAAGTGGCCCTAGCATGTCGTACATCTCATAGTACTGTACGAAGGTAATTCAAGAGAAGCTCCTGTATCTGTATCATTTTCAACGTGTGCAGGGTTTTTCGCCTTCCGATCACCCACCACAGGAGATCTTTTGCCGATGGCTTATTGAACAAACTCTCGATCCTTTTTTGTCTCTTCAGTCTTGTTTACAGATGAAGCAACATTTGGAAGAGATGGAATATGAAATTTACACAACCAACATTTGTGGGCGGATCAGAATCCCCATGGAACAATACAGGGTAGATACCGGCATCAGTTTACGATTAATGTGTGGACTGGAATGGTAGGTCCGTATGTTCTCCCAGCACATCATACAGGATCTGCCTTCAGGGACTTTATTTCGAACACACTTCCAGACCTGCTAGAGGATGTACCCCTGCTAATACCAAGACGCATGTGGTCCATGTATGATGGGCTTCAGCACATTTTAGTCACATTGTTCACAATTCCCCATTGAAGGGCCGCTTCCATGGCCTGCACGTTCTCCGACTTTAATCCTTAGTAATTTTATCTGTGGGGCCACCTAAAACAATTGTTTTATAAAGCAGACATTGATAAGACAGAGACGCTTCATCAACATGTGATGAGGGCCTGCGAAACCATTCAACACCGCGTGAGAGTATTTGAATGGGTCCGCCAATCTTGTGTAGACTCAAACTGAGGATATTTTGAACATTTGTTATAAGTTGCCGTGTTGAGGTACAACGACGGCCTTTTGGACATATGCTTATATGGACATTTTGGTGTCAGGACACCGCCTCCAAAAGTTTTCAAAGTATTTTTGCATTTTATTACGGATTGTGCATTTAACAGCGACTACCGTAAACTTTAAACTTAATAACGCAAAAGCGAGCGATTTTAGGGTATATGTTTATATCGACTTTTGTCCTTGTTTTGTTGTTAAGAACCCGCCCTCGCAGTTTGTAAAATTATTTTTGATACATCCTATATATATATATATGTATATATATATATATGTGTGTGTGTGTGTGTATGTGTGTGTGCATGCGTGTGTCTGTGTGTGTACCGGGAGTAACAGCAAAATTGTCCATATCGTGTAAAAGCAAAATTGTCCATTTGTTAGATTAAGCTTTGAACCGTTGTATCTTATAAATGATTAAAGATATCTTACTGGAATTTTCAGAGGTTTATTTAACATATTTTATAACATATATTGGATTATTAAGAATGTATAATTACTCTCCAACCGTAAAAGAAAAATTGTCATGATCATAAACGAAAATGGCATGTTCATCATTAATTAACCATAGCTAAGGGTCGAAAGGATTGAAATAATGTTGAAATATATATATATATATATATATATATATATATATATATATATATATATTATTCCAGAATAATTTTCCAACTTATTCAAGATGATCTTCACACTCTATAACCTTCTAACTTTCTGTGTTGAAGTAACTAGGGGCTTCCCAGGTTTCACGTACAAGTTCATTTGCAAATGTTTTTTCTCTGTACTTTGGACTGTCATAGCTGAAACTCCTCTCTAATTTACCAAACGTCTTATGGATTGAGATGTGCCTTTTCTAATTGATCTCTTTAGCTCTAAGTTGAAATGATGATCTCTCTTCCTGTTATGACCTCCTGATTTAATTTTCCTCTCTACTGTTCCCTCTTTTTAAAACTTATTCATCGTTCTCATCATGGTTCTTGAATGGACTTTGAAAATTGAAGCCAGAGTAAGAATAGTGGTTTCATTACAGAAGGCCTGAATGATCTTTTTTCTCTCAGCATTCCTCATTTGAGAAGACATAGTGAGGCTGACACAAACTGATTTTAATCTGTTCTATTTCTAACTAAATAACTCAAAGGGTTTTCAGTGATTCTTACGAAAGTTGATGTCAAGATGTCTAAATGACCTATCTGAAAACCTGGAAAAACAAACTCAATTAGTTTTGTCGTTTTTAGATGTTAAACATTTTGCTGGATGGACAATTATGCTGTTACACGATTTGAACAATTTTGCTGCTACACATGATATATATATATATATATATATATATATATATATATATATATATATATCAATTAAATGACAATTCTTCTATATGGGTTAAAGGACCATAATTTGCACCGGCCCTACAGGATATAAAGCAGGAAACATGACATACACAAATAATAATCATTATTATAAGTATTACAACTGAGAAAATTATGAGATTTTACGTGTTTTTTCATGTCAGCAAACGTCAAAATGTACTCGATATATTACCAGAGCTATAATCTAGTCTCTTTCTCACCACCGTAACATTGCCTCTCTGTGTCTATTCTAATAATACTTTGTTCAGATGAGCTCTTCGCTTTGGTACCAAGACATTATGAATTTAAGCGCAGTACTAGATGAGCAACAAGGTCTCATCAATTTCCAGTTGAATTGGCTAGATGAAACCGCATGTTCTATGCTAAGTTTCTTTTCTCGCACTTCTCGCTCGTGGAACTCCTTTCTGTCGCAATGCTTTACAGCCAACTTTTATCTGCAAAAATGTAAATGCAATGTCAATCGCTATATAATATCCTCCTGATTACTCTTTTCTCTTTCCGCTCATTATTAATGGGTTTTTCCCTAAATCCTCCCCACCCTGTAACCCCTTGTGTCTTAGTGGCTTTACTGCCTTTCATGGGGTGATACCGATTAAAAAATAAACAGCAAAGTCTATCTACCTGTCTTGTGTGTTTGAAGTCCCCCACCCTCTAACTCAGGCCACACTTGCTCTACATAGATATTTTTGGAATCAGGATGATCACGGGATTGAATGTCTGCCCTTCGTCTGGGGCTAAAATCCAACATTGGAATTTACGTCTAGATGAGGTGGGAACAACTAAAAATTCAAATTATAATTTAACTGAAAAGAAATTAGTAATTTTAAAAGATTTTCATTTTAAATATAAAAGTAACAAAAAGTTTGAGAATCTATTTTTTTTGTTTTAAATTCAGTTCAAAATGTTTCCAAAACTTTGTGAATTGAGGAAATCAATTTTATTTCTTCAAAATGCCAAGGAACCAGAGTTAAAGAGAGAGGTTTTATGGCGGGAGGTTTTGAAGTTCCGAAGAGTCTGTGATTTGAAGAACTCAGTTTTAACCTGAATTGGAATTTCGGTCCATATCGAACATTCGGCCCAAATCGGTCTTTTGGCCCAAATCGGATCTTAGGCCCAAATCAGTCTTTTGGCCGGAATTGAACTTATAACGTGAATCAGATTTAAACTGAGGTTTTGAAGTTCCATGGTACGAATTGATAAATTCAAAGTTATTTCTTTAAAATTATCATTGCTGTTTTCTAAGATGGACCAGATATTCCTTTAGTTTTGGGTCGGAGGTCCAAGTAGTCCTCCACAAGATAACTTTTGTACTTTCATTCTCTTTTTTTTATCACATTGTTTTAATTTAACTTATTCTACTGTTTTTCTTCTTTCTTCCTCCTCCTTAATTAACGTATTTTTTCTTTTCTATTTTTCTTTTTATCTTTTCGTTTTACCTTTTTTTTTCTATTTTTAATTCCTTTTATATTTTTTTTCCTTTTATTACTCATCGTTTAATTTCCTTTCTTTCATTTTTTTCTTTTACTCACTTTTCTTCTTCCTTAACATCATTATATGTCATTGCTCTTTATTCTCCCTTTCTTTATGGCTGTTCATAATTTTTCGTGTTTTCCTACGTTCTCTCGTTTCCTAAATTGCAACCTTCTTCTCTTTTTCTTGTTTCTTTATCATCATCTCTTTCCTCTTCCCCTTCTCTTTCACTCTCTTTCTTTTCCTTTTTTTCCTTTTCCTTCTTCATTTTTTAAAATCTTTTTTATTTCTTTATCTTCTCTCTTTCCTTATTCCGCTCCTTTTCTTCATTTTTGTTTTCGTTTTTCTTCGCCTTTTCCTCCACTTCTCACCCTCCCCTCCGTCTTTATATTTTAGTTCCATTCCCCCTTTATTTATGCTTATTTCTATCCTTTTTCATCATCTTTTTCATTAAATCTCTTGTTTCTCTTTTCTTTTGTTCTGTTTTTTTCTTTTCTTACCCATCTCAATTTTCCCTCTTTTCTTCCTTCTCTTTCATCTCCTTTCATTTTCCTTCTCGTCTTTCTACCCGTCTTCTTCATCATCATCTTTCGACCTCTTCTTTATTTCGTTATCGTCTTTCTCTTTCCTTATTCCCCTCCTTTTTTTTTCTTTTCTTCGCTCTTTCTTATTCGTTTCACCTTCCCTCCTTCATTATGCTTAACTTCCATTCCCCATTGAATTCCTTCTAAACTCATTTATCATTCTCAGAAACCCTGACTCCTTAAAGGATCTCCCGCTTTCTACCTTTCTTCCAATTCTTAGCCAATCAGAATCGTTGTTCAGCTTCTTTACTAAACCTAAGATTTCAGAAATCCACCATGCATGCTGTTCACTTATTTTCTTACATTTAGAGCCTACGAATTCCTTGGCAGAAACCCGATTATCTCCAGCATCCTTAAACAAAAAGCATTCTTTAGTCTCCGCTTCACATTCGTTCTGGCGTCTATCAAATTGCAATTCGTTTAGGAATCGGGGCTACTAAACACAATCAATCTAAAAGAATCGATCAAAACTAAATTCACACGATTTCAATTCATGTCACTGAGGCAAAATCGAAATGCAATTCACCTAACATAAGTTTTAAAGAAATATTAATAGATTTGATGCAGTTGTGACTTTTCAAGACATTTTCAAGACCATATTGAGAAGATTGTTTCATTTTGTCGATAATTATTAATGCTTATCTGGGGATTATTTTTATATTTAATTGCAAAACCTTTCTGAAAATATAATAGATGCTTATTTAAACATTTATATTTATGAAGTCTATCATTGCGCGATACCAGACGAATTGAAAGACTTACGACCACGTCCCGTTGAAGCCCCAGTTCCTGTATGATCACAGAAGTTAAGCAACGTCAATCCTGGTCAGTATCTATATGGGTGACCGTTTGGCAATACTAGGTGCAGAAAGGTTGGTGTAATGAATAAGTTCTCGGAATTTTTAATCGGAAAACTGAGTTCAAATTCTCGTTGGGTTTGTTATATTCTCTCTCTCTCTCTCTCTCTCTCTCTCTTTATGTGCCATGACCCCTCAGGACGTAGGCGATCACAATTTCCTATAGCTTACAGCTCTGTATAAATTCGGTTTATTCGTTATTTCTAAACCCTTTTCCGCCATCCATTTTCTTAAGCCTGCCATGTATGTTATGCGTTTTTTTCTCTGTCCCTCTTGCCCTTAATTCTTCCTGTGAGTATCAGATTTTCCAAGCCCTCCTTCCTCATTATGTACCCTAGAAATGTCAACTGTCTCTTCCTGATGCTAAGCATAAGTTTCCTTTTTGTTTCCATTTTCTCTAAAAACTCGACATTGATCATCTGTTCGGTCCATGGTATCCTCGGCCTTCTTCTGTAAATCCACATTTCTGTTGCTTGAAGTCTCTTCATCTTTGAGGCGATTTTCCAGCCTTCACTCCGTCCTGGATATGACGATAAACTACATCCGCTTCCTGGGTAAGACGATAAAATACGTCCAACAGCAAGGCCTTTGATCAGGAGGTTTTGAGGAGCGTGGAACCACCTCTTAATTGCTGGTGTTCCCAGGTCTACGCTGACCTGGGGTGGTAGAACCTGCTAGGGGCCCAGCTATGGACAAATAGTTAACACCCAAACTTGGGTTAAAATACTATGAAAGTGTAAAAATAGGTTTTAATACCAGAAATAGATTGTAAAAAAATAAAATCATTACCAGCGAAAGAAAAATATATTCAGAAATAGAGTTTTTGAAGGAAAAAATATTAACAGAAATAGATTTTTTGAAAAAAATATTGCCAACAATGAAAACCAATATATATTGAGATAGATAGATAGATAGATAGATAGATAGATAGATAGATAGATAGATAGATAGATAGATAGATAGAAAAATATTACCAGCAATAGAAATCTTGTCGGCATTAAATAACCCATTGAAGTTGATATGGCGTAAAACAAACCAAACCAAACCAGTATATACTGAGATAGATAGATAGATGAATAGATAGATAGATAGATGAATAGATAGATAGATAGATAGATAGATAGATAGATAGATAGAAAAATATTACCAACAATAGAAATCTTGTCGGCATTAAATAACCCATTGAGGTCGATAATAATCGTAAACAAACCAAACCAAAGCAAACGAGCCTTCAGTAACAAACCAGCCTTACGTAACAATTCATTAATTTTTTTTTATTTGTTTCTAAAGAAGTTTTCCTCTCTTAGCTTTTGTAATGCATCTTTGTCTGCCCCATTGCGTTTTTGGATTTCATTATCACATTTTCCGTCCCAAATATTCAAATTTTTGCGCTTCGTTGATTTTAGTATCTCCGATTTGTAATTTGCATTTTAGGCTCATCCATTTTACTAACCAGCATGTATTTTGTCGTTTTGCCGTTTATAATTAGTCCTTTCTTCTCGTTTTCCTTCGCTATATTCTACAAGAACTTTTGTAGTTTTCTTTTGTCGTCTCCTATCAACACTTTCTCATCTATATATCTTATGTTCTTAAGACTGTGGCCACCGATACCGAATTCTGGTAGGATATCTAATTTTCCCAGAATTACCTCGCTGTATAATTTGAGTAAGTCCACTGAGAAGATATATTCTTGTCTTGTATCCCTTTCTATTTTTGTATATCTGAGAGAAATCATTGTCTATCCGTATGCAGGCGGTTATCTACTAGTATAGGTTCCTGGTTATTCTAATGTACTTCCCAAACTTGCTGAGAAGAGCTAATAGATTTTTGTCGCGTACTTTATCTAAGACCTTTTCGTAGTTTATAAATCACAGGTACACTTCTTTTTGCATCTGTGTTGCTCTAGCTGAAAACACGTGTTCCTTGTTTCAGTGTCTTTGATAAACCTTGCTTCATCTCCGGCCTTATTCTACTGAGCGCTCTATTCATCAGAATTCGGATGTTGAATTTTGTTATATCACTTACACACAAATACCCTTGGGAAAGGTATGATTCCTCCTCTTCTCCTCCTTACTATTGGTTGGTTACTAAGTCTTGTATCACTAAACCATTATTATCTCCAAAAACTTTTTTCTGGCTTTAAGTAACCTGGTTTGTTTGGTTTGTTTTGTTTTACAGCATATCAACCTCAATGGGCTATTTAATGCCGACAAGATTTTTATTGCTGGTAATAATTTTTTCCATAAAATATTTCTGGTAATATCTTTTTAAAAATGTATTGCTGGTGATATTTTTTCCAACAATGTATTACTGGTAATAATTTTTCCTCAAATATTTATTACTTGTAATATTTTTTTACAAAAATGTATTGCTGGTATTAAAACCTCTTTATATACTTTCATAGTATTTTGACCTAAGTTAGGGGGTTAACTATTTGCCCATAGCCCGGGCCAAACAGGTACCACCACCCCGAGTCAAGGTGGGGCTGGGGGACACCAGCAATTAAAAGGTGGTTCCACGCTTCTCAAAATCTCCTGATCAGAAGACTTGCTGTCGGGTGTAATTTATCGTCTTACCCAGGACGCGGATGTATTTTATCGTCTTACCCAGGACGGTTAAATAAAATGAAAATGTTTGATAAGCAGCAGTCCCTGAATAACAAAGAAGCCTCAGTCCACATAACAAGCAGCAAGTTCGGTTCAAGGCTCCATAAACTTCAAATGGTTGATAAGCCATAGAAAAGGAATCAATCGATCAAAGAAATGAATGAAATATGGCGTACATAGATTTTTCTTTTTCAAAAACGATCTACCTACATATCAGAAATATTAGTTGGTAATGATCACAAACACAAACATTTGACACTGGTAGGGAATAGGTGACATGCCGTCACTAGAATGTAGGAAGATTTTGATCCGCCAGTCTGACGAGTTCATAGGTACTTCTTGCCTTGAACATCAATATTTGATTGTCCGATTTTACTTTCTATAACCGGTTGAAAATATTGAACTCGGCTATCAGGTAGGATATTTAATGGGAGGTTGCGTTTCTCGATTCTCTCAAATGAGAGGACGTCCCTAACTTAAAAATCAGTATTTCAAGTCTTAGCTTATATCCCAGGGCAAACACCACCAACCCCTGAGCTACTTAGGGTCCCAGTTTCGATTGTGAAACAGGCATTTCGTCTGACTATCACTGTCTTCTTCTAAGCTATGTGTGAATCTTGGCTTTTAGCAATTCAATGTACTCAGAAGAGATCATTTTGACGCTATCATACAAAAGCCAATCAACACATTACTGATTTTTTCCTGCTCAAAATATAGCATGTCCTTTCCTTGCTCTTTTTAATTAATGTTTGTTTTATTTATCATTAGGGTTTCATTGACTTTGTTCACATCTGATTATCATTATTTACATGTGGACAGTTTTTTCTCGTGTGTTATTATTATTATTATTATTATTATTATTATTATTATTATTATCCCAGCGTTTCAGCAGTTATCCCTTTCGGACTTCATCAGGTACTTGTTACTCCTGGTAACCTACAAGGAATTTCGAATTGAACCCTTTATTTATTTCGTTCCGCTGTACATCTCTAGGGATATATCTTATTTTGTACTATTCAGTTATTGCTCGTTCCGTTTCCACTGCGTCGCTACTGCCCGGCCCAAGGATTGAACTCACAATAACTGTCACCAAATTATTAAAGAAAGAAAGACAAATGACAACAAGACTTCAACACAAGCAACAACAGTTGCAACAGAAAAGAAACGCCTCATGTAATGCAGTCAAATATAAAAAGCAGCAGCATCACTCATAAGCAGGCAGGTTAGGTTTACGGCTTCAAGTTCTCCACTCGGGATTGTCCCACAGGACAAAGTCTAGTGTATTAAAGCTTTAGTTCTTAACAACAAATATGAGGAAAATTGTCCACATGTAAATAATGTAAATAAATATATTTTTCTTAAGCCAGCATCAAGAACATTTCAGTTAATAAGCTTGTTTGATTAGTTATTAGTATTGAGTAATGAGTTGGGGCCTCACTGGGTACCCCAAACTTGTGGCCTTGTGTCCAGATAAACTAAGAAAATTAAACAAATAAAGGATATCTCTAAGTGGGGCAATGATCACCGAACTAGTCAGGTTGGTTATTACTATTAAGTAATGATTTCCAACTTCACCTGGTGTCCATAATTGTGGCCTTGTAGCGAAATAAAGTAAACAAAAACATTTCAGAGTTATTATTTTTTTTGAAAGGATACTTAATTAGGTTGTTACAGCGATCAAGTT